CAAACATGCCGTGGCAACTGCGGTACTCCACTGACGGAATGACTTTCGTTGAAATCGGTCGTCGCTGACTTGTGAGCTGCACACTACAACCTCGTTTGTGATGTTACTTGCTTGTCGTGGATAGACTTGAGTCTTGGTTACCGGTTAAATTTTGCTAATTTGGCGTTGGTAATCTTTATTTGGAACTGAGTAATGCCGCAACGTCGCCAGCAGAAACCTCACGGTATATCGATGTTGATGGTTGCGGCTCCATATTAATCGGAGATTTTACTGCGGGTCCAGGCAGCGGGTGGATCTTCCGAGAGCCCTTCAAGATTTATAAAACTCAGATTCCAGGTGGTCAACAAACATTAAGTTCTCCCAATCATAGTATTATATGTGATGTACATCTAACATGCCAAAAATGCTGGTGAACGATTTGAACCTGACAAAAATACTTGAAATAGATACCAGGAAGGGGAGGGAGGTAAAAGAAAAGTTATATAACATTTTATTATTCAATAATTTATTAAAATACATAAGTTTGTCCAACTCCCTGTGATACAACACCTCAGACATAGCTGAGCTTGAGTGCATACTCAGCTTGAGTGTGGGCAAAAAGTTACTATTGAATTTTTGATATCTTTTTTCATTAATGAGAAAGTTGACCCCGAAGTTAGAGTAACTGTTCAGCAGAAATGGCTTTTTAACTCTTCTGTGATTTTTTTTTTGCTTGGCTGATTTTGTTCATACTTGACAGGCAGGTCGTACCATCTAATTGGAAAAACAATTCTGACCCACCGCTACCATGGCAACAGCCAAAGTCTTGTAATATGTAGCAGTGCCCAAATGATCATGCCTTTTATTTTGGCTACGTTGCGCACTGGTAAGAAATCACCGGCGCCGACATTGTTACCACTGTCAACGTAATCACCAACGCAGCTTTGAACTTTGAATAAAATGTAAATGCTGCCTCCAATCTAGAAAATACTATCGCAACACGGTTGGAAATAATACATTTAACGGCTGAATACGTCCTAACAATAAAATAAAGTGACTTCTAATGACTGCCATGTTATTTTGCGAACCTCGTATAAGGTGCCCGGTTTTAGTTATAAACAGACGTTAGCTTCACGTTCATGTCCCTTCCATGATAACAGCCGAAAACATATTGTTTATTTTTTACCGGTTTTCATTGGCAACCGAAGTATTTTTATTTTGTAAACAAATTTTCGTCTGCTATTTTTAATCAGTTCAAATCGTTCAGCAACATTTTTGGCATATTAGGTGTACATCACATGGAATACTACGATTGAGAGAACTTGATGTATGTTGACTGATTTTTATCATAGTACGAAGTACCAGGAAGTTACTCAGTTCCAAATAAAGATTACCAACATCAAATGAGCAACATTTGACTGGTAATCAAGATTCATGTAATCTATGGCTAACAAGCAACATCACAAGCGAAGTTGTAGCATGCAGTACTAGTAAGTCATCCTGTCAGTGGAGTACTGCAGTAACACCGCATGTTTGCCATCAGCATTGTATTCAAACGAATCACGTGGTGTGCCGTTCTCGTTCAAACCCGGGATTCGATCAATAGGGGAGTCCCATTAAAAAAACACATTGCAAATCATGCAAGTTCAACATTTTCAAACCAATATACTAAAACAGAAATGCTCAGAGATGCAAATGAAGGATAGATATTACTTTTCACTATACACATCTCTGTTGATACTATCCCTCACATATTCTACTCCCAATTACTCCTGCGTAAAATGGACTAGCCTCTTTTCATGTTGACATTCAGAGTAAAATCATGTGACAGGCTGTTAAAATTGGCTGTTGTATACTCTTTCGCCGGTCTGGAAAATGTGTTTAATTAACTCACATTCAAGCAACAATGCAGATTTCCCAGTGGGAGTGAGACTATTCGACTCTGCCACTAAAAAAAAAGGGTGTTTTCAGCAAAAAACGAATAACTCTGGAATACACACAATATACTGAATTTCGGAACAAATCGTGCATTACTTACAGCAGCAGAATACCACAGAAATATCAGACGAAACATGAAAACACTATATATTGTATTTCAGCCTGAACCCTCTATATTGCAATTCAAGGAATTAACCCCATATGTGCATCCATTTCCCACCTTGGTATCACCCACCCCTGAAAACAATACCACGCTGAAGCGTTTGGTAATAACTTTATTGCATCCTTAGAAGTACAAATGTTCTATTGGTTTACAGCAATAAATATATGTGATTAAAATAATATCAAAGTATGATAACGTAAAAAAAAAAGAAAAAAAGAGTCAAGGTATTATATCCAGAGAAAGCTCATTTCTTAAAATGAATAATTTATGTAAAAATTCCCCTAAAAGTGTTATTATATTTCTTTCATTACTTTTCATTAAATATGTGAATTTTTGCAGGTTGGTAATGATTTCTTTGGGGAATAAAATATTGGAAATAAAATCATTTCTATCTGTTTGATATCGTGGGCAAACTAAAAGTAAGTGTAATTCGTCTTCAACTTCCTGTAATGGGCATTGTTTACAAATTT